CATTTAAAATGTACTCCTCCTCTGCACAGATAATCTCTCGCTTAGCAATGTTTCTCTTCCTTGTAACAAATTTATTGTGTGCTGTGTGTATGGGAATCTCTGTATCATTTTTGCAATGTGTTTCCATAACTAACACAACAACCTAGGAGAGAAGAACAGCAAATTATATAGGAAATTACCAAGGACTGTGGGTGCATGTTACTGCTAGCACAGAGTACATCAGCACTCTTATTCCATTGCTAAAGATGTTGATACTCACCCCCTTACTAAAGTTGTCTATTAGGTCAGAAGAGTTAATGGAAAATGAGAAGACATATCAGATTTAATGCTATCATCTCTACCATTGCAGACACTGATTGTTTGAAAATTAATGCTTGAGAACAGGCCCATACATCTGAGATGTAAAAGATAACCTCATATGCCTAGTTATGGTGCAAAGCAAAGAAACTCCCATTATTTTCTTGAAGAGCATTCTGTGCATCACATCACTGTTCCAAAATCTTATTTTTCTGAGTCATTGGTAACGTTCTTCCTTACAGAATATCCTTATTTCAAATGGTATATTTTATGTTTTTGTTACTGTAGTGTTGCTTGCAAACTGAATGTTAATAATTCTCTAAAGAAAAAAATAACAATTGTGCTTTAATATCACCCCAAATACCTGATTTCTAAATTGATCTTATTCTTACTTTGCTTTCCAATTCAACTCCTTTTTCTCCTCAGCAGATGATGTTTATACAGTCCTAAAGAAGTCTCATTCTCCATTCTATCTAATTTACACCCTGTTCCATTTCTTTGAATGCATTCTCAAGTAAAACTGCATAATGCCTGGGTTTGTTGCTTTTGTCTGCCAGAGGATGATATTTAGTGGCTAATTCATGTAATCCTTGTGGTTTTGTGTGAAACTGCTTCAACACTTTTACTTCAGTTAGATGCAAAAAAGTGTACGTCATGAACTTACTGGAAAAGGGAGTTGGATTTCAGACTGGCTTCTGATGTCAAGGAAGCATTATCTGTAGCTGATGAACAGCAGTAATCAGTACACTGACTGGAGACTTCTACAAGTAGCCACTTCTATTGATCCTCTAGGCTATTCACAGACAGGAACCTTTTCCTAATACTCATCTGTTTCAAAATGTATATCCATCAGCTCCTAGATGGAACTTAGGAAGGCCTTTGTTTGCACCTGGAGGAGGGGTTTCAGCAGCCAAAAAACTAACTGAATGCTTGAGCTGGGTGCATGACTTTTCTTGTTCAGCACTCTGACTTTGGTGCCTAAGCTTTCAGGACATGCTTCTCAGAAACTGCATGCAAAGTTGTTTACAAAGTAAACTTTTACAGAAACTCTCAAACTGCTGTGCCACATGTGATTTGTTTTCCTTTTGCCTGGGAGATCAGTCTAACAGCTGGGATAGAAAGTCCAATCAGAAGGCAGTTACCAAAAAGCAGGTCTCTCTCCCTGCAGCGCAGTGCCTGTTTTCTGTCAGGTGGTGGTGGAGTGTGCTGCTCTACATGCTGCTGCCTCTGGGGGCCAGGCCTCAAAGGCAGCCTTGCAGGGGTGACCACCACTGCCTGCCATCAGCCTGGTTTGGCTTCCCATGGATGAAGACAGAGCCCCTTGTCTCTACCCCTCTGCCAAATCTGGAGTTGGGCTGAGGGAACTGGTGGGTGCACTGTTTGTTGAGCTGGACCAAGAGCATCTGTTTGTGAAAGAAAATGGTGCAGATAATTTGGATCTGGAGGCCCTGGCAGCTCTGTGGAAGCCAGCTCCAGGAAATTCAATGGCACCAGGCTTTCAGCCCCCATCTGTGCACGTAGAAGACAGATGTGAGCAGTGTTTGCAGCATGAGGAAGTCAGTGGGGAAGTAGCTGGTTCTCTCCTCTCTGATGGAGATATTGTGACTCAGCAGTGATGAGTAGCAGTGCCAGTCCTGACACTGACACCCAGCATGTAACCAATTCCTGGATGTACCCACTTGCATCTCAGAACTCTCTGCCCCACCATAGCACCAAGCAGCTCCTTCCTCCTCATCTGCCCTCGCCTGTGGCCTGGCTATGTAATATGCCTGCTGGGGAGCAGCCACCATCATGCTTTAGGCACTCAAATCTCCCACTTTAGAGCTGTGAAGCAGCAGTTGTGGTTTTTGGGGAATAAGAGCACAACCCCAAGCCACACTAATGTAGAGTGAAGATTACTATAGCCCTACTGCATCCCTAACACATCTATAAACGTCTCAGGTTTATTGTTCAGTTCTTCTCTCAGAAGAACTGAATGATACTGGCAAAGAACAGGATGTGTGCTGTGAAAGAAAACGTAGAGAGAATCATGTAGGAAATGGGATAAAATGAAAGAAGAAAACTTCTTTCTAAATGACTACTATCAGTTAAAGTTAGTAGAGTTGTTTTCAGGGTTTACTGAACCACTGCAATCACAGTGCAGGCATGGACATACTTCTGCCAAGCAAAACTCAATTTTGCATTTTTTTTATAGACAAACTAAGCTGATAGAGTGGGGAGAGGCAGAAATTTGCTTTTTTTTTTTTTTTGGATGGAAGCCCGCCACTGTCACTTGCAGAGATGAACTTCCTGGTACACTTACAAGAAGTGGGGATCACTTCTCAGAACCTGACTTTAAGCAGCACCCAACACCTACATAGCTTTTGCTTGCAGGGGCTCCATGAGTGCCTTCCTGCATAAGGAACAAAGACAGAAGTTAGAGGATTTTAGTTTTCCAAATAACGTTTTTATTTTGAAATTTTTTTTCTCCTGGTTTTGCACTCTATGAAGATAACTTCACTTGCTGTAAGTGTTGGACTGTTATTTAGCATTCAGAGCACAGCTTAATTCTTTTTCTTGCTGCTGCTGAGCAGCGAGTGCAGCCAGCAGAAAGGAAGTGTTTTAGGGGGTTTCAGGGAGGCAGGGGTGAAAGGTGCTTTTTTATGATGTGTATGTTCAAATAGAGGCCGTGTATTTTCAGTCTAAAATGATTCACAAATGCTTTGTTCTACTCATCCTAAACTAGAAAACAGTTTTCATATCTAAAAATTGACTGAACTGAGTAGTCAACAGGGAGACCTGATCTTAACAGGTTCCATAAGAATTATTGCGTGGGCCTAAATTTTTCGGTTTTGCTCTTTCTGCGTTGCATAGGAATTTGAGAGACCTTTATCTTCTCCCTCTCCTCTTTTCCTTCCTCCAAATTGCTTTCTGCAACAGCATGAGAGATAGAAAATCTGTCTCCATCTATGTTCCCAAGGCAATGACAAGAGTTACAGTTCCCTTGAAAACTTGCGGTATTGTAACTCTCAGTCCTCAGATTCTTCCTGCATCCAAGTATTCTTCATAATCGGTCAACTTCCTTGACCGGAAACCTTTCAGCAGACACACCTTGTGGGGCTCTAAGATTGTTATGGAAGTGCATGAATCTCTTACTTGCATGCAGGCCTTTTTAAAGCTTTACAGTATTTCACCCTCTAAGTCAAAATTTGTCACTGCTTTTTTTCTGTTATAATACCTTTGATCTTTATTAAGCCACTTTCCCTATTCCTAAGCCATAGATGCCTACAGATGAGAGAGCTGATGCTTTCAGAAGTTGGTGACTATTTTCCTTCCATGTTTATTACCTGGGGCAACATGCATGAGGTCATCGGGTGCTTTCTAAGTGTTAAAAAAAGAAAAGAGGGGGAGGGAGGATTTGAGGATTTTCTCTTTTTCTTTCTTTTTTTTTTTTTTTTGCCAAGAAAAACCTTAGCCTTTTTTTTTTTTAACTTGCTTCTGTTATTTCTTTGACTTTCTAGAGTTAGCTCCACTTCAGTACAGTTTTCCTTGTAAGTAGTCTCACTTACACAAACCTTTCAAGATGCTTTTTCAGAGTAAGAAATGATATAGTGCCTGTTACAAGTATTCTCTGCTTCAGTTCTTTCAGTACAACAAAAATTACTGCTTCCAGTATTTCCAGTATCAATTTTTCCCCATCTCTCTTTTTTTTTTTTTCCCCAGTAATGCAGAAGTTGGTAGCTAGCACCAAAGTGGGCACTGAAGGTAGTATTTCTTCAAGTTGTAAGTCCTCGTATGAGGAGAACTAAGAAAGTTTTATTTTCTGAGGCCTAGGAATGGGAGTTGGTATTTCCCACACATAGAAGCATCCCAACCTCCTGAATTCTGAAGTGTATGTGTTCAGCACCTGCGATGGCAACAACCCTCAGTTAATGCCATGTCTTAAAATCGCAATCCAAATTCAATCCATTACTATTTCACATCTCAGTTGTCTCATGTGCCAATCACAGCAACATATTTGGGGATGGAGGTAGTTTGGTTGTTTGTTAATTTTTCTTTTTTTAGGAGCACTGTACACTACCAACTTTAAGAAAGTTGGAGGGTAGTAATAGCTACCCTTTCACGTTGTGATACTGTGGCCAAGAGGTGGAGTGGTAGAAATTTAGAAATTTTTTCCATTTTCCTCCAGAGCTGGAATGCTTACACTTTTCAGTTGTTTCCGGGGTCATCCTATGATTTTATGGCTGCTTATATGCATACATTTAAATATTTGTATTGATCCCGTGCAAAGCAAGAAAGAGGGGTCAGTACAGCTGTGTGGGACTGTTTTCAAAGGCATATCTTCTAACCTCCCAGAAGACTGCCTGCTTTGTAAATAATTCTATAAATCATTACAAAATATTTAGATAACATTTCGCAAGATGGCTTATTCCTCTTTAGAGTGCATCTCTGAATATTATGTGGTTTTTGAATTAGGGTGAAGTTAGATGTTTTCTAGTTTTGTGGGTCTCATTGCTATTTTGCATTAGTATCCTTGCAAGTGCTTTTACTTTAGCGCAGCAGAGGGTTGTTTGCAAAATTGACGTTTAATTCAGCAGACTCCTTTCACATTCTGGTTTAATCAAGTTAGTAGGTCAAACATTTGTCAGACTTACTGATTTATAAGTAGTGGAACCACATGCTAATAAAAATATATATTTTTTTTAATGCATGAATGCATGTAGGAGTGCTGTTTGGAAACAATCGGAAAGTAAGAATAAGAACGATCTTTCTACTCCGGAAGCTGTGTGGTAAGAGAATGTATTTTTTTTTTTTTTTTTTAATCTTAATTTCTGTTCTGAATAGCTCTAAGACACCGAGCGAGGCCAATTCTGCCTGTATACATTTCTGCCGCTTGTTTGCTGCCTGTATAGCAAGAGATGATTCATGCTTCCGTCAGCAGCTCTTTGTATTTACTTACTTTGTGCAAGGGTGAATGTAGAACCTTAAAATCACACTATAAATCCTTTTGATTACTACCTGTTGTATAATAAATCATATCTGTACTGTTTCTAACTTTCACACCTGCCAAACCCAAGGCAACTCATATTCAGAGGGAGCACAACAACAGCACAAAGAGATTGTGAGTGTGAATCCCAGCACGTTCCAAGGGGCGAGGGCCAGGCGGGGGCAGTGACGCATGCCGTGTCCACAGGGATGGAGGTGCAGCTCTGCCATGGCACAGGGCTGGCTGTCTCAGGCCGCCTCCCCGCCGTCCCCCCGCTGGGCGCAGCTACAGCCAGCGTCCAGCTCTCCCCAGCCCTCGGGTCTAATGCTCCTACAGGCTGCCCGTGCTGCGGGTGCTGAACCACCTCCATGTGGCAAAATGGGTGTGAAGGTATCTCCATCGGTAGTAATAAACGTAGGCGGCTGACCCGTGCCCTGAGGGTACCAAGACGTGTACTCTGCACAGGGCAATGATTCACGCAAGAAAGAAACGCCCTGCCCCGCTTTCCAGTAAGTGCCTCGGCCCAGGGTGCTACGTTCAACGTCTCCAGATTTTCTGGGCTCACCGCTGACCACCACCAGCAGCTCCTCCGTCGCAGCCGTTTCCTGCGCGCTGCCCTCCCGGCCCGGCCCGCCGTGCCCCCTCACCGTGACGGTACGCGCCCCGCAGCGTCGCCACGGACAGCAGCCCCACCGGCACCCGTCCCCTCCTTCCCACCGCTGTTCCTCAGCGCCCGCCGCCCTACGCGGTGACTATAACATAGCTACGAGTCTGAACCTGAATTAATTACATGAGTTCCCCAGGAAAATAGGACAAGTTTCTTTGTTTGGCGGCCGGGCAGCGCTTTCGGCACCGCTACCGCAGCTTCCTACGTCCCATGCCGGCACCCCACTGCTAGGCGGCCACTTACGAGGAGCAGGTGAAAGAGTCCCCGAGCCATGTCCCCGCGCAGCGCCGTCTCGCAACCCGCCTACAAAACGAAAGCCGCCGGGCTTCTGCCCGAGTCCGGCTCCTCCCATGTTGGTAAGCATCGCTCCAGCCCGCCCCGGCCCGGCCCCTCAGGGTATTCCTGCACAGCGCGGGTGTGTGACGGTCCTGGCTGCCGCAGCCCGGAGCCAGCCCTGGGTAGCGGATGTGCTGTGCTCTCACTGTGTGGTACTGGTATGGGCAGCGTGGGGCAGGGTAAGATTCCATCCTGAATCCTCAGAAGTGCAGCAGGTGTTTGAACAGAGTTAAGTGCGTTGTGCTTTCTTGTGCTGTCTCGTTGGAAGGATTTCTGTGACTTCAAAGCTATTTTCAGTGATTTTCTGTTTTTCCTACAGACTTTTAGTGGTTCAGAGTTCCTATGTAACAGTGGCCTCCTTAGCTGTGTTAGGATTGACATGACAGTAACAGTTACCAATGCATCTTTTGATCTTCGAGGTGATGCTGCTGCCTTCCGAAGGTTGTAATTGAGCTGGCGTTTTCATTTTAAACTCCATTTTTCAGTAGTTTATGACTCACCTCTTCAGGTTTCTATTGGTTTGTCTCCTAGCTGCCATGTTTGGAAAAAAAAAAAAAAAAAAAAAAAAAAAAAAAAAAAAAAAA